TCGCAAGTGTGCCCCTCCATGCACTTTTGTAACAAGCGGGAAACTAAATGGGCGGTCTTCTGCTGGCCAACAGAATGTCCGCCACATCGACAGAATAGTACTGGCTGATCGTTCAACTCAGTTATGTTTTCTAGTAGATACTGGAGCTGACATATCAGTGCTCCCGAGAACTAAAACAAATGCTCACCAACTTAATAAACTTGTACTGTATGCAGCCAATGGTACCCAAATTGCAACCTACGGCACCAAACTATTGACACTTGATTTAAACTTGCGCCGGACTTTCAACTGGCCTTTTATTATTGCGGATGTAACTCAAGCAATTATTGGTGTCGACTTCTTGACACATTTCCACCTTCTAGTGGATGTCAAGAATAATTGCTTAATTGATGCTACAACTCAGCTGACATCACAGGGCCAAGCTTCTCACATATCGAACGTACCTACCAACATAAGTGTTTTATCGGGCAGCACACGGTTTCATCGGTTATTAGCAGAATTCCCTGACATTTTAAACCCATCCAAATCAGGGCAGCATACTCATCAGCCAGAAGTGTATCATCACATTGAAACACATGGCCCACCTGTATTTTCCAAGCCTCGTCGTCTTTCTCCAGAGATGCTAAAAGCTGCTCGCAAAGAATTTGAATTCATGCTAGCACAGGGAACCATTCGCCCATCTAAAAGTCCATGGGCCAGTCCACTTCACATGGTTAAAAAGTCTAATGGTGACTGGCGGCCTTGTGGAGATTATCGTCGACTTAATGCCGTCACAGTCCCTGACAGATATCCAGTCCCACATATCCAAGACTGTACCCATCTTTTTCATGGAACAAACATATTTTCTACCCTCGATCTTGCCAGAGCATATCATCAGATCCCAGTGCATGCTGAAGATGTGCCCAAGACCGCAGTGACTACACCATTTGGTCTCTTTGAGTACTTATATATGCCATTTGGCCTTCGCAATGCTGGCCAAACATTTCAGCGTTTCATACACCAAGTACTGTCTGGCCTCGATTTCTGCATCCCATATTTTGATGATATCCTGGTTGCATCTACAGATGCGGAAGAACATTTTCAACATCTGCGTCAGATTTTCACTCGCCTTAAAGATCATGGATTAAAACTAAATCCATCCAAATGTGTACTTGGTCAACCCTCAGTTTCCTTTCTTGGATGTCTTATCACCCAGAATGGAGTCAAACCTTTACCGGAAAGAGTCAAAGCAATTAACGACCGACCTACCTCAGCCCAAAACCATCTCTGAACTGAAGCGTTTTCTAGCAATGTTAAATTTCTACCGACGCTTTCTGCCAAATGCCGCAAAAACACAAGCCTGCCTACATGAGTTTCTGAAGAATAGCAAAAAAAAAAAAAAAAGATCAACGAGCTGTCCCTTGGACTGAATCTGCATCTGCAGCATTCGTGCAATGCAAACACGATCTGGCAAATGGCTGGCACTTTCTTATCACTCACCTAGTGATCAGCTCTCTATAATGGTAGATGCATCTGACACGGCCATAGGAGCAGTGCTTCAAGCCCATACCACTAAAGGACTTTCCCCAATGGCATTCTTTTCCAGAAAACTTACTACTGCAGAAAGGAAATACAGCACATATGACAGAGAGCTACTTGCTGTGTACTGTGCTGTTAAATACTTCCGGCACAACTTGGAAGGACACGACTTCATCATTTTCACCGATCATCGACCATTAACCTTCGCTTTTAGAAAAAACTCTGACTCATGTTCTCCTCGTCAGCTTCGACATCTGGATTTCATCGCCCAGTTTAGTACAGATATCAGATATGTCTCTGGTACTGATAATTGTGTCGCTGATGCCTTGTCTCGGGTAAACAATATCAACCTCACTACCCCAGATTTCTCTGAAATTGCAAAAGCTCAATTGCATGATGAGGAACTCAAGAACCTAATCTCAAATCCACAAACCTCCCTTCAGTTACAACCGCTGCACATTGATCCAACGCTTAAAATTTACTGTGACATAGAGAACAATAGAATACGTCCCTATATTCCTGTCAATTTTAGACGTGAAGTGTTTAATGCCTTGCACAATTTGGCACATCCTGGAATCCGTGCCACCAAAAAGCTGATCGCAGACAGATTTGTCTGGCCAGCAATGAATCAAGACATCACAGAATGGACTCGTTCATGTATTAGATGTCAACGGTGTAAAGTATCCCGTCACACTCACAGCCCCATTCAACAATTTAACCTTCCAGCAAGACGCTTTGATCATGTGCACTTAGACTTGGTTGGCCCATTGCCTCCTTCAAATGGTTACACTTACCTCCTCACTTGTATTGATCGGTACACAAGATGGCCTGAAGCCATTCCTATTGAAAATATATCCGCTGAAACTGTAGCTCGAGCATTCATCTCCCAGTGGCTTTCAAGATTTGGCATGCCTACCACCATCACTACTGACCAAGGCCGACAATTTCAATGTCACTTGTTCGCATCCCTCACCTCTCTTCTTGGCATTCGCCATATTCGCACAACACCATACCATCCATCTGGAAATGGGATGGTGGAACGCTTTCACCGATCTCTCAAACAAGGTCTGAAGTGCCACAGTAGCACACACTGGACAGAAGCCTTACCCCTAGTCTTGCTTGGTCTTCGCACAGCATTCAAAGAAGACATTGGTAGCACTTGTGCTGAAATGTTATATGGTGCAACCCTCCGTCTGCCAGGTGAATTCTTTCACCCAGAATCTACTCCAGTTATCGACCCTCCAACATTCCTTCAACGTTTACGTGAGACCATGAGCAATATCTCGCCAACCCCAGCATCTTCGCATAACCAGCCAAGCTATTTTGTACATCCTGCGCTTGAGACATCTTCGCACGTATTCGTGCGCAACGATGCAATTAAGCCAACTTTAACACCTTCATATGATGGTCCATTCAAAGTTGTCAAACGAACACCGAAACATTTCACCATCATCTGCAATGGCAAACAATCAGTGATTGGAATCGATCGTCTCAAACCAGCATTTCTAATGCAAGATCCAACAACTTCCTCATCAACATCACTCCCGGAAGAAAGCTTACATCCCCGTTAAAGAGCAACCTAAAACTACCAGATCTGGAAGAAAGGTTAAATTTAACCCAAAGTACTTATAACGTACCGATGGTACTTGGGGGGGGGAGTACTGTGGCGTTCCGACAGATACTTCAACTTCTATTCATGAGATGGCGCCACGTGTAAAATCCAGTTCTTAATCGGAGCAGCAAAGCGACATCTTTACTCACTCAGACTTCTCGTCACACAACTGTACGCGAAGGTAGCATGAACTGTGTTCCGAGCTCTGTGTTGATCTCTGCAATGTAATTTAAATTGTAATTTAGTACTTAATATATTCTTTTGTTATAGGAGATTGTCTACTCTTATTTTCTTTAATTATATCATGCATTAAGCACACACGACCACCAAATATTATATATATAAATGAGACACATTTTCATTAAAAAAAAATTAATTTTTCTGTCCGTATGTCTACTGAAAACCAATCATTTTGTTGAAGAAAAGTAAACAAACATTTCTGCACGACTGGTTGGAATGCGCAAAATTACAAAAAGGGTCTCTGCACAACTGAGTCAGACGTGCAGCTTTCCACTGTGGATCGGCTAATCGACGTCGGACGGTTACACAAAGCCTGTCATTTTTTTATTTTATTTGTTAAATTTCGAATCTCAAGGCCAATTTACACTAGCGGAACTTTGAGCCTAAGAAACGCAGGCGAATTTGAAGACTCGTTTGAGAGCTTTTAAACAGCAATTTTTTCGTATTATGAGGGAATATTTAACTCTTAAACTCTTGAATAATGTTATAAGTTAGGCTGTTTGTTTAAATGTGTACATATTCAGTTTCAGTTTAAAAAAAAGAGTAACATTTTCGCCATTTAGTGAAGCTAGCAACTTCCGCGTGCATTTCTTAGGCTCAAAGTTCCGCTAGTGTAAATGGGCCTTTACTCTTCAACAGTTCTGAAAATCTGTGCGAAATATATGTTGTATATTAAATCAGTATTTTAAAGACAGAATCGTTTTGAGATCATTATTGCAAAATTATTTTCTAAGAATGTAATTGCAGTGATCCTAACGTTTCGGGTGAACATTCTCGCCTTATCCTTCAACATTTAACCGAGAAACTTAAATTTCGATTTTGAAACTCTTTCGAGAAAATATTGGTTAAAGCATTTTAAGCAGGACCCTATTGAGGCAATCTAGGGCTCTAATATCAGATTGGCCCTACAGCCCCACAATCTCTCACAGTACAGTTTTCTTCTTTTTATAAGAGGAAAAATGGGATTATGAGGAAATGTAGGCTTAATTTTGGGGTCCTAGGCCTTATTCCTTAAGGACCTAGGCAGAAATCAGTTCCTGCGTCCAATAAACTTAATTCTCTCGGTCTTGCCAAACAAACTAAAGAAAAACTATATACAGTATACAAACTGAAGAAAAACTATATACAGTATACAAACTGAAGAAAAACTATATATAGTATACATCCAAGCTAGTTTCTATGTCTTATTATTACGTCAACTTCAACTCTCTTGATAGTAAGTGGAGCCCTATTTGAATATGATACTTACAATTTAGTAATTTTTTTAAATGCCTTAATAAGTATTTGACTTTCATATTCAATATTCATGAGTGAAAAACTGGTATTTTTTAATCAAATTTTGCTTTATACCAAGCTTTAAATTCATAGTAAATATTGCGTCTGAGAAAAAGGGATCAGAAATCAAATGTTATTAATTTTTTTCTGTTTGCATTAAGAAAGAAAGATCTGCTCAAAAATTATACGTATTTATTTTAATCTTTCAACGCAAATGCTATAACATGTTCTTTACTCTAATTTTTTTTGTTTTGTAATAATATGTTTCAAGTAATTTGAATAAATTACGGAATTAACATTTGGTTTCACAGATGACGCTATCATCGCATACAATGACGTCATCCATCTAAAAAGTTTCATTATTTTCCTTGGTTAAAGAGTTAAAGCACAGAATTTGTTATTGTGATAACTGGACGTCAAAAGCGTTTCAGTTTTCTGCAGTTAAGTAACGTGAGCTTTACACAGTGCATTGATTATAGGCATCTGGTTGTATTCTTATGTTCCTGTTCTCGTTTAGAAGTTCTCTGCATTGAAAAGTGCCAAATGCGACTAGGCTTATACAAGTTTCGAGCATGAAAGTAAAGGTTGGTTTTCGAACAAAATTTTATCTTATTTCGCTAACTGACAGAGTGTTTTATTAACATGCTGGCATACTGACGGGCGTATTAGTAAATTTCAAGAGTGTAGCTCTTAGCTAATCGTGATAGTTACGTTATCGTAACTCCGTTTGCAGCATTTATCTTACGGTAACTACACAGTCTTATTTATTTATTCTCATTAAATTTTTCACCATGTGGTGTTCTGCTAGTGATATGGCTGTTTCCTTTCCTGAAGCAAGGCTAAGTACTCAAGTCTGCCCACGCTGTAATGAAAATACAGTGGATTTGAGCTTATTGCCTTGTCACCACTCTTTCTGTAAGCTTTGTTTAATACAGCTAACTCACAGCCGAATGTGGAATTTTGCAGATTGTTTTATTTGTCCGAGTTGCCATAAAAAGGCATTTTTACCTAAAGATTGTGAGTTAGTATCACCCAATGCTTTGCTCAATACCATTCTAGGCATAGTCGATGATTTTAGTTCTCAGATGGATGATTCTGATGTATTGTGCACTTCATGTGATGAAGGTAACAAAATTGTAGCTAGATGTAAAGATTGCAATGAAGTTCTATGTGATAACTGTGTTAGAGCACATCAGAGGGTCCGACTGACAAAAGATCATATAATTGATACATTCCCTACAGATTGGTTGGACTATCAAATTGCACTTAACTCTTTAAACTATACTACCAAGACAATTAATTTCTGTGAACATCATCCCTCCAAAGTTTTAAGATTATATTGTGAACTATGTAGAGAGCCTATGTGTAATGATTGTACTATGGATGTTAAACATTCTGGTCATTCTATGAGTTATTTACAAGATGCTGTTGGAGATTGTCGTCAGACCACCTTAACAATTTTAGAAGAGGCAAAAAATAATTTGCGTACAATTGAGGAAAGCATACAAATGAATCAAAACATGGCAGATGATGTAGAATTGAAAGTTCAAAGTGTTGCAGCAGAAATTAGAACAACTGTCAGAAGACACATGTCTGTCCTTGAAGAGAGAGAAAGAGACTTACTACGCCAGCTTGAAAAAATACGTCAGGTGAAAGGCAGAGCTTTATTGATGCAAATTAAAGATTTGAAATCCTTGTTGAAAGATGTATCTGAAATGATAGAATTTATACAGTGTATTTTAGATACTGGTAGTGATATTGATATTTTAGAAGCCAAGGAAAAATGCTTACTGGAAATGAATGAACTAAGACAGCGCCGTAGTAACATGCAGCCTCGGGAAGATGACAACATAATATTTACACAGCCTGACAGTGCTCTTTTAAGTGCGATTAGCACTTTAGGATTTCTTAGTACATCTGGCTTTGGTCCAAATTCTGTTGCTGCTGGTGAAGGACTTCAGCAAGCTCTCTGTGGTCATCAATCTACATTTCTTGTACAAGTAAAAGATTATTTAGGAGAACTTCAAGTAGTAGGAGGAGATGCACTATGTGCTGGTGTTCAATCTCCAGATGGCAGTAACTGTAAAGCCCATGTTATAGATAGGCAGAATGGAACATATGCTGTTTGTTATATACCTGAAGTTGTTGGGAAGCATACTATTTCAGTACTTTTACGTGGTATGCACATACAGCAAAGTCCATTTCATGTGAATGTGCGAATGGGCCGAAATTATAGCCAAATAGGTAAGATGTTATTTTCTTTTGGAGGAGAGGGAGATGGAGAAGGAAAATTATGTCGTCCGTGGGGTGTTTGTACAGATAAGAGTGGTAATATCATTGTAGCTGATCGTAGCAATAATAGAGTACAAATTTTCAATCCAGATGGTACTTTTAAACTTAAATTTGGAGCACCTGGATCAAGACCTGGTCAGTTTGACCGACCTGCTGGTGTAACAACCGATCATTTAGGTCGTATAATTGTTGCTGATAAGGATAACCATCGTATCCAGATCTTTGATTCTGAAGGTAATTTTATTTTAAAGTTTGGAGAAAGGGGAAGCAAAAATGGGCAGTTTAATTATCCATGGGATGTTGCTGTTAATGCAGAAGGTCAAATTCTGGTATCTGACACAAGAAATCACAGGTTACAACTCTTTGCATCAGATGGAACATTTATTAATAAATATGGTTTTGATGGGGGTCTCTGGAAGCAGTTTGATTCTCCCCGTGGTGTAACCTTTACAGCAGATGGCCATATGGTGGTTACCGATTTTAATAATCATCGTATCCTTGTCGTACATCCTAACTTCCAGTCAGCAAGATTCCTAGGTCAAGAGGGTTCAAACAATGGTCATTTTCTGAGACCTCAAGGTGTTGCAGTAGATCCTGAAGGACATATTATTGTTGCAGATTCCAGAAATCATCGCATACAGATTTTTCATCCTAATGGTCATTTCCTTTGCAAGTTTGGAACACCAGGAACTGGACCAGGCCAGATGGATAGACCATCTGGTGTTTGCATTTCTCCTGAGGGCTATATCATAATAGTAGATTTTGGTAACAATCGAGTTCAAGTGTTTTGATTATCTATTTTATTAAACTTTGACACACTGACCTCTGTAGCATAATTTAGCTCAGGGAATTCTGAAGTCTTCAAGGCACGAAAATGTTTTAGAGGTGCTTATTTGCATCAGTTCCTTTTTTAAATTTTATTTTAATGTCATGTGTGATAAAGTTTTGTACCTCACTACTGTCATTTTATGACAATTTTCTTCTACCTCAGAATGTAGAATCGTAAAAGATCTGCTTATTCATAGGTTCCTTGCAGTGCTGCATAGCAGTTACAGTTTGTTATTTTTTAAAGTTTTAGTTTGTTTCATGTTTTTAAATAACTACTGGCGTTTAGTAAATCGCCATATGTTTATGTTGACGATTTTCATTAAAATGAATATAATTCCTTAAATTACAAGATGTGTCATAAATGTGACAAAAAAACTATAAATGGTACATGTTCCTAAAGTTTAGCACTTAAAAGTGTGAAAAAGTGTTTTAAACTGTCTTTGTAACGAGATGTAGGGTAAATATTTTTATTTATGCTTATAGCACTGTAGCTCATGTAATATCCACTTGCTATTATAGATATATGAAAGTGGATAGAAAAAAAAAAAAAAAAAAAAATATTGACCTGTCCAGCTTTGTACAAGTGAAAAGTTCCATGCATAATGTTGTATCATAAGACAGAATAATGTAGAAAACATCAGTGTTAAAGTTATGATGGTGTAATGTAATTCTGTTTTATATTATCATCAGTTGTTTTTAACTAATCAAATGAACCATTGACAAATCTTTGTTATGTATTACATTCAATTGCACAATCATGAAGTTGGCAACTTCTACAGTTTTTTCATATTTTTCAGAAAGACAGTTTCTGAAAGAAGCTGCTGTGACATGTTCATTAGAAATGTTCAAAAAATGTAATCTAATAGTTAAAATACTTTTCATTTTTGTCAAGTAGTTATAAAACATGGATTTTAGTGCAAACCTCTTTGAAATCATTTTTTGGTAAATATGCTTTAAATTTCAGTGGACATTTTTAAGGGTACAATTAAATTATTTAACATATTAGCCTTCTCTGATATTTAATGCTCTACTGCTGCCATATTAGATGTCTTAGTGTGGTCCAAATTTTGAAATGATTCACTAAATTCTGTTGGCATTTTTAATTTTGTGTTTAAAGTTATTTGATCATACTAATCTAAAAAATTTTTAATTTCATTTCATAGTAATGTTCTGTAAGCAGTGACTGGATTTTTCTGAAATTGTATATTTTTCAAAGTGTGCATAATTTTGCTGTGAAATGAGTTTCTCCTCAGGTTTGTTATGTTTTCTGTGCATTGCTGAAAAATGTAAGATTCTTTAATTTAAAATTTAAGCTTAAAACAAGTCTTGGAAAAAAAAGCAATAAATAGCCATTAGTGCCTGTTTAAATTAATGCATATATGATTTATCTTTTAATACAGATTTTTTTTTACAAATAGTTATTGTATTTAGTTATCTAAAACAGTAAATATTATAAATTAAAAATATGTAAATTTTATTTTATTATTTGATGTGTTAGTTATGAACTGCAATTTGTGTAATTTTGATTATGTAACTTCTGGTAGATAAAGAAAGTGTATATAATTCTTGATTAGTTAAAGTCTAGTATGAAGTATATAATAATAATCCTGTGATAAGATGTCATTCAAACTGGAGGATTGTAATATTTTGCAGTCAATTTGTTCTTGGTAAGTAACATGTCTGCTCTTAATATTTATTTATATCTTAAATTTGTTATACTGCTTTATACTTTTATAATTTTATTTATTTTATACCTGAATGAAATATTTTTATCTAAATAGTATGAAAGGGAAATAATGTTTTTTCAGGGTTTATTTATTATTATTATTTTTTTTTTTTTTTTTTTTTTTGCTTTTTTAAGGGAATATTTTTTCTAAACTTGTCTATTAGGATATTTCAATTATTCCTCCTCCTTCAGCTTCGTAAGTGTTACTTCTAAATGCGCTTTCCCAAATTAAAATATTTTAATTCTAAGCATCTCTCATAGGTGAAGAAATCAAGCTTTTTATATTGTAAACAGTGTTGCATTTATTAAAGAAACTGCCAATGTTATGATTTTTAAAGGACATTTTTTCAGCCATTGTTAAAACGGTTAATTCTATTAAATTTTACTCGAGTTCAATAAAATTTAAATGTTGGAGGTAGGTTTTATCAGTTGCCGACAATATTAATGATAAAATCTGCTGTGAGGTATGTGACTGTTGTCGGTAGCTTTCAAATCAGTTTTTTAAAAAAGAATTAACATTTTTACGAAAAATAAAAAATGCAGATCTAATTCTCAACATGTCAGATAAGTATAAAATAAAGTACAAAGTCTGAAATCTAGATTGATCTAATAATATCTGAATCACCAGCCAAAAAAAAAATATTAAACAAAAAGAAATGTGCTGTAAATGTGATTCCTTTTCCCCCTCAATTGAGTTTCCTGCATGTCACATCGAAATACCTATTTGCTACGGAATTGCACTGTAGCCAATAACAATGCATTGATTGCATTCTATTGATGTTGGCCAGGATCACATTAGAACGTTGGGGGGGGCAGGGCCAGTGTTATATATTTACAGCTCCATGCAGTTTCTGCACTTCTGAAATTTAGCTGCTCGATACCTCCCTAAATTCTAAACATTCCATCATCCCTAAATTCTGCTGCCTCATGCCTCTCTTAAATTCTAACAATTCTGCCAGCTCTGTTTTTTTTTTTTTTTTTTTTTTTTTTTTGTGTTTGGTGCTTCTTTAAATTCAAAAACTTTTTGCTAGCTCTTAATTCTCCTGTCTTGTGTGTCACATCGGCTTTGAAATGCTGATCCTTTTGGGGGTTAGCAATCTTTTATCCAACATAAGCAATAAGTGAAGCTGTAATGATATGTCTACATCCAGAATTGTCAAAATTTCGACCATTCCAGATCTTGGACATTGTATTGTGTTAACTTTAATGTACAACATGCATATTTGCAAAAGGTGTAGAAAATTTCATTTAATAATTTGCAATTCTTTGTGTAACACCTCGGGTCTAAAAGTGATAAAACCTAATATGCTTCATCTGTAAAATGGGCTAAACATGCAAAATAATTTACTTATATAGAAATTAATTGGGTTAGTGAAGGAGTTATCTATTAAAACATTAAGCAAAATTTAATACATGCATTTATAAATTGAAAGTTTGTTTTTTAAATTTTTGATTTGTTTATCAATAAATTTAAAGCTATTTGTTATCATAAAAATAAGACCATTATCTAGTTTCTGAGTCTATTTTTTCCTCATAAAACTGTGCTGTGAATATTCTTTACTTTTTTATCTTTTTGAAAAGGTCTTTTTATGAACATTCTAAATATAAAAATAACTATTGAATACATAGTTATTTTCTCGGTCTGCATGTTTTATTGTTCTAGTATGCATATTTATGCTTTAAGTATATTTGGCACAAATGATAGATTTTAAGAATTAACTCTGTATACCATTGATATTATTCATCAAGCAAATATGGATATTTTACATTCAGCCTTCTGCTGTTTTGCATGTAAATTTTGAAATTTACAGATACAAATTTCTAGATTTGTGACCAAATTTCCATTACGAATCAAATGTGTAAATAGCTTTTGAATTTTAAATGAATGTTTAAAACTTGGTTACCTGTTTTCTAAAACATGAAAACTTTATTCAGGTAGGTAATATTTTATTGTACAATAGTGCCTTATATTCAATATTATTTATTCCATGATGGTGTGCATTGTGTAGACAGGTGTATTTCTGCTGAATTGATGTCTATTTCAAAATCTTAAAACATTTCAGACGTTATTGACACTCCATGTATTGGAAATGTTTGAAATTAATTTTGTACTTTTAGAAAGTGTTCGCATATAGTGTATTAAGTGTCATTCCGTTAAGTTATCTTTCTAGTCTTCCATTTCTAATGGAAGTTCTCAGCTGTTAATGACTTTCTGGCACATTTGCCTTTGAATTTTGGGTAGTTCTTGATTCTAAGAAATTATCTAAAAATGTTTAACTCTCCCTGTTGCTTTGAATGTAGCTTTAAATGTAGCTTATTCCCTATTGTGTTGGATGGTGCTAAAATAAATATAATACTGTCATTGAATAGATCTAACTTTGTTCATTTTAGCTTGATTGATATGTTGCTGCTTGGCTGCCTAGACTTTCTTTTTTTGAAGTTTGTTGATGGCTGTACAGATGTGAATCTTTTTTTGTTCATTCTTCTCATGAAGTATGTTAATTTCCAGCTTATTTATTAATTTTCATTGTGTATGCATAGATAATGTGCCTCAAAACAGAAATAAATTTAACATTATGTTTAATGTTTTAATGGTGTGATACTGCATTTGTGCATGGTCTATAATATTGGATGTTTCTGAGCCAGTGTACACATTTCATTATGTTGGGCATCACTGTTTGCTAAACTAGACTTTACCTAATCAAATAATGTGTTGAGCTATATGTCATATTTTTAAAAATCTAGTCTTGATACTTTTAAAGTATAGAGCTTTTATATTAAATTCTATTATTTGAAATATCATAAATGTTTGTCTTTTGAATTAATGTTAGTTATAATTGTAATAATGTCTTAAAAACTGAATTTTGATTCTTTCTAATGTTTTGTTCCTGTTGATTTCTGCACTCTATATATAATTAGTCATACTTAAGGGATTTAACTCTTTCGTTATTCAGCCCTTGAAAATCTTAGGCAAGATAATATTATGTGTGTATGTGAAAAGTGCCTTGTACACCCATATCTGTATTAGTTATGTTTATCAAGTTTCATCTATTCTGAAACAAGACTGCTTATTTTGTAAAGCTATCGCTTTATTTGCTTAAAATGTAATAGTTTCAGTATGTGAATTTCTAGTATGAGTATGTTCCAGGTTATATGATCTTACAGATGACTTTTCTTTTCTGAGTGTTAATAAATTACATAAATTATTTATATTCAAGGTTTAATATGAAACTGAAACAGCAAGCCAAAATATGTCATAATATTAAGTCTTCTGAAAATAAGTATGTTTAAAATATATTTTTTGAAGTTTTGGTTGCTTTAATGTGTCATGTTAGATTATTAGTGTATTATTAATATCTGCAATAGAGACAAAGCTAACTTGAAAGCAGAAAGAAAAACATGGGAATGGGCATCCATTAAGAAGTAAACTTTGTAAAAATATTGTAGACTGCTAAGCTAAAATATTGAGTGCTTTAAAAGTTTAAGTAAAATGTAGATAATTTGATCGTTAAAATATTGTTTTCTTTTCTTATAGGTATTTGTAAAATTATTTCATTTTATTTGATATACTATTCTAGTTAACATTTTTCTCTAAGGTGGAAAAGGACTTTCTGCTGAGACTTAAAAATTTTCTAGGTTAACAATGCACTATTATTAGAAAAAAATTTAAACTAGAAAAAGAAATCTTCAACAACACAGCAATGTCATGGAGAAAAAGTTAAAATTAATTATTGTATATGATAAATATCACAGGCATAAAAAGTTTTTGAAATTCATATACATAGATGTGCTGAGTTACCAACAACATTGGAGAACTTGTTGGAGTGCAACAGTGAACAGTTCACTAATGTGAATTTTTTGTTTGTATTGAAATGTCAAAGTTTGTTATACAATTTTATAGTATATTTAATGGGCAAAATGGAAAGGAGCATTGAATTTCGTTCCATTCTTTCTGGCTGTGAAAGGTACATAAATCTTTTTTTTTAAGTTGCCAGCTTTACATTAAAATCCATTTGATGACGTGAGAAGGTAGTCTGAGATAGCACATAGCAAATGACTGAATGACGTTTTGAATGAAACTTTGTTCCCATTGGAGTATTTTAAAATTATTCAGACTTAATCAAATATTTGGAAGTATCTCGGCATCAATTTTTCTCAATACTTTTTCTCTTCCATATTTTAAAAACTGGTGACTGCCTAGAATATCAAAAACCAAATTTCATCAAAACTAACTCTCCAGAACTATCAGTATTCAACACAATAATAATGCTAGCCACAAAATAGAAAATCCTGGAATCTTTCCTCTTGGCAAGAACAAAATTACATTTTCGGTTAATCTTTGGATTATGGTAACTTTTTGGCGACCAACCCTGCTACAGCAACCTGATAATTTTTGTTTGGACGCCATTTTGTTTTCACGAAAGTAAAATCGTGTATTTTTTTTTTTTTTTTTAACTCAGCATTTTTTCCAACAATCTGCTAGCTGAATTACGCTTATGCTAGAACTTTTACGGAACAAAAGTGCTTAATTATGACGAAGATTAGGTAAGAAATTCGGAGGAAGTGCAGAATCGCTTACTGCTTGCCGCGTTTCTAAGAATTGCACATACACGGTATCATCCATGTACACGTTGACCTATTTTCACTTAAAAAAAATCCCAGAATTGCACAAAAATGGCATTGCGCACACTCTTGACTTTATCTATGTACACTGCTAAAGTCCTAGCTAGTAACCTTTATCGCCTTACCAAAATGTTGCCAAACTACCTGCTACCGTATTTCAAAGATTAGTCACATTTTCTAACAAACTATTCAAAATTTAAATCTACCTTAAAACCAAAATTTATTCCGAAGCAGTTAATAACACTAACCCCAGTAACAATTTATCGAATTTTTTTCACACAGTGAGGGAGCTTAAGATTATCCTCAGAATTTTTAAATTATCCTAATTAACTATTCATATTAAAAAAAAAAAAGTGCTGAAATTGCAGTGAAGAAAATGTTGATTTTATTCCTAATCTTTGAAGAAATGAGTAAATTTGAAAATAATATTTAAACATGTGCCTTACTTGGATTTTTTTTCCTCTTGACACTGAGCTATCCCTAAGATAGAAACCTGCTTGTTCTCCATTCCCCTAAATCCATGCAGTTGCTACTTGGGAGAGGGACCACTAGAACTTCCTGTGTGCTTTACTTTTTGCTACTCTCCTTGTTATTTATTATTTTTTCAATAATAATAAATGTTGCATATATTTATTTAAGAAAATATATAGTACACATATTTAAAATTAAAGCATTTAAAATAGTAATAGTTTATGAAATATTCGAGAACGATAATGAATAGTGCAAAACGAAAATTTTCCATAAAATAAGAAAATTGTATGTAAAGTATACTGCAAAACAAAAATTTAAAGTACTAAAGAACAGCAAAAAAATGGTTCTGTAGTAAGAATTACGCTTTGTACTTCACTAGCACTAAAGTATTAATGAAATTGACCTGCACTCTGCATGTTTGCTTCACTACACATCTGCTTGGATTCCAAAGTTGTCTGAGGCAGTTGAATTGGTTTACATTGCATATATAGTAGTTTCCTTCGTGTTTTTTAATTATAATAGTCAATCAACTGTTTTACAGTAAATTGGCAAATAAGTAATTTTTTGATGGATTAAATGTAATATCAGTGTGATATGTCATATTTTACTTTATTATTCTGCCTTGTAAATACAGCTTTGACATTGTAATTGCCTGTTTACATTATATAAAACATATTCATTATATGTTGGTTCAATGTTCTGGTATTTTTTACTCATAAAATAATACTGTATGTATTCTGAGTGCATCTAATCTTTGGGAAATTCAAACAATATTTATTTGTAAATTTTATGTAGGGCTGAAATATTTTATCAACTATTTACTCATTAGCAACATCAAAGTTAGCCAAATGCTGGAAAAAGTGAGGATTTAAAACTTCTTCATATATATATGTGATGATTTTATGGATCAGCACAGAAATGACTAAACTTGGCATCACAGTCTGAGAGTTGTTTGGTGGAGTGAGATATAGCAAAATGACAACAGAAAAATTTAACTTTATAGCTACATATCTCTATTCAATTCAAATGGCCGATCATTATTCTTTTAGATGAAATTCTCCAAAATTACATATTCAGTAATGATTTAAACTTGATAAGATTAAATTTACTGTGTCATACTATTTAAAGAAAAGGAGACAGATATGAAGAGCAGGAGCAAAGTCTGATAGCAGCAGGAGGAGAAAGCAATCTGACGAAGAATGGCACAAACTCTGTATTTATACTAACTGTTACATAACATGCCAGAATGTTCTTAAAAATACTGGTCTAGGGGAAGATCCTAAAATTGTGGAAAGTTAATTATAGGACCATAATTTCAGTAATAATCTTATGAAATTTTTTATGTTAAAATATAATGCCAAAAAATTAAGTTTTGAACATTTTGAAATTTGTTGTGATTATTCAAAATGTGTAATGTGTGTGCAAAATTTTTACAACTATGATATTATATACAAAGCCTTTCCCGAATAAATCTAATTATGTGGACTCTAAAATGCAGACTTTTGGACTGAACATTTTTAATAGGACTCTAAAATATTATCAGTTTATATTTTGCAATTATGTAAGTAATTATTTGGTCGGAATTTCAGGATTTGATATTTCTTTGCTAATACTTTCTCTCACCTAGCTCTTTTCTTCTTGAAGGTGGGGAAAATATAAAATATCTAATACGTAAAATATCAAATCTTGCTTTCAAATAATAAATTAATAGCCTTTTAAATTCCGTTTCATTCTAAAAATAACAGCAATAAATTTTTCTCCCTGCAGTTCTGATGTGCACTTACCGATGAAATATGAACCCAAAATCCTGTACACGAATCTTGTCGTGGTCTGAAATGGAATTCAGTACAAAAAGAGTAATTATGTCAACTCTCTCTTCTGTTTGCTCATCTCTTCTGCTGCTTTCCGCTGTGACGCTTGCTATGCAAAGTTTACTTTCCTAAATTCGTCCATTATTTGTTCCCCCCCACACAGTACGAAAAGTAATTTTTCTTCAATAAGTCTTTAGAAAGTGCATAACCAATTGAAAAAAAAAAAAAAAATATTGTACGGTGTTCCCTATAGTCTATCAGGTACATTGAAATATTTTATTTTTGTCATGTTTCTCCCTCCCTCACAAATATACGCATTTAGCAGGGGAAATGTAAGCTATTTTGATATTATTTCATATTTGACTTTGAATTGAATATTGTTTATCAGTCATTTGCTACAAGAGCTAGTTTATCTACTGATTTCATGTGTTTTTATGTTTAACAGTATAGTTCAATTAAATATGTTTAGATAAAATACCACTTTTGAAGGTAAAGAAATTTTGAAGCTCCCTCAAATGTCTTAAATGCATAAATTCATTCAAGAATACATGAATTGTCATAGGTTTACATTAGTATCTAATCAATGATACCATATCAGAATCAAGAAAATGGTTTAGTTTTATGTTCACAATATAAGGTTAATTATGAAGCTGAATCGATGCCAAAATGATTTGTCAAGAGATGCTATTTTATTGCAAATTCTTGGCATTACAGAAACTTTTATTGGTCTGTATTATGAGGCTTTTCCATAAAATATATGGCCCACCAGCGGCCGAGCGGTAAAGACGCTGAACACTGGTAGTTCGGTTCGAGGTTCGAATCCCGCGAACGAGTTGGCTGCATGGGCGTTTTCGTGGTTTTCCCCATGTTTAACGTGTATACGAGCCAGTTTCCCTTAGAAAGTCCTCCACGAAAGGCATCCCTCCCCTTAGGCGGATAGCCCTAGTGTGCTTTGCCATAATTAAATACACCACCACCACACCATAAAATATATACTAGTCTTTGTAAATAAATAGCTGCTATATTGGTGATATAAATTTAAGTGGTAAAATCAAAGCTCCTATAACAAAATTGTTTTAATATGTGTATTTTTTCTTAAAACATAAAACCGGTGATGTATGATTTGTTCATTGACCATGTGCACTTGCTTGTTGGAACATTTCCCTTAAACTAAGAATTATGTAAAAAATTTGGGTTTTAAATGAGAATGTAGTCCCATGACAAATAAATCCTAATACAATTTACATCTTCTTGGGTTTGTATATGTTAAAAAATAGAATGATGTTTAGATATTTTGGAAATCTGAAAAGTTCTTCAGTTCACCCCCTCCCCAATTTGGAATCAGTTTTTTGGTAAAATATTTTTTCTGTTATAAACAATTTTTTTTTTCCTTCTGAGTGTTTTGAAAAAAGTAAGGGGGAGATAGGTGCATAAGAAAGCATATGCAGGTGAAAAAAGGTACCAAAATAAAAAATAGAATAATTGTTTGGCTATTTTTCCTCTTAATGTCATTTTCCATTCTACTAATTTATTTTCTTTACCTGCAGGGAATGAGAAATATATTATTTGATATATTCATCATTTTAAAGTTCCATTTTCAGATTTCCTTCGTGGATACAGTGTTGTTTAAAGCCTGAAATACCACATTAAAATCTTGAATTTTCATCATTTGTCTTAAGGGAATCTCATGGTTAAATAAACTAAGTTGAACCTCATTTATGCATACTTGGTGACAAGACATGTTCATGTTAAATGTAGTTCACCTTATCAAGATGATGGACAGCACAGTAGTGTGCGATTGATGCAAGTTGATAAGTTTTTGTAGTTAAAATTTTGAGTAGATAATGGCTGTAACATAGCCATTGTTAGTAATATTATAATAAGTACTTACTAATAAAATTGTCCCATAGCTGGATAGCTATTTGGTTTTTGACTGTTTTTTAAAATATACATGCAAATACTCTGAAGCATAATTTCATGTATCGAATGAAATTCACTCTCTGATAATCTAGCCAATAATCTTGCAAGTTTCAATATTCTGCCCTTGCTGAAATAAACTCCCAAGGTTTTTAAAATGAAAAAAGAAAAAAAAGAAAAAAAAAAAAAAAAACCATTGAATTTTAATCACTTAAGTGTACAATATCCCTCTCTTTATTGAAGTAATTGAAAAATAATTCTACATAAACTATGCTTAAAATAACAAGATGTCATGATGTGCAAGTAGAGTTTTGCTATTTCAGCACGCAATTTATCTAAGGTTGCAACATGAGTAATGAGAAGCAGCATTTCAGCCGATTATATTAATGAATGTGGGTGAGTAGGGCTGAGGTAATAGTGAACTTTTTTAAAGTAGTAAGATTTGGGTTCTTTATAATTAGAAACCACATTCTTTTAAAGCCTTCAGAAATATCATGCATAAATTATATCACATTTGATATATTTTTTAAGAAGGCCTATTTAATTTTTTGTTTACGTACATAAGAGTATAATACAGAAATTGAAAGGCCAGTATGTGCAAATTTATTTTGATTTTAGATTTCTTCTTATTCTAGTCCTGTAAAATGGTGAATAAACTAACTTTCAGTTTTTGAATTAAATGAATTGCCCAAGTTTTTAACTCTCGTATCAGAAATGTCTGAGGTTCAGTTCTATGTCCAGAAACATTTAGGTGCAAAACATTTAAAAATGTTTTCCTTCTTGTGTAATGTTGTATTTATGTTGTGCTTTATGTATATTTTCTGCTTATTTATTGGTGTAATTATAAAAACTAATCTATTAGTGACTTATTAAAAACATTAAATTACCATTTCCCTTACTGATTTAATGGTGCAATATTGATGCATGTGATTAGACTAGCTATTTTTGTTATAAAATAGCATACAGCTTTGAGCTTAATATCAGGTAGCAGTTTTTATATAGGGTGAAATTTAAAAAAACTCTTCAGTAATAGTTTTGTTTTGTGGAAATTTTCAGGACCTTAAAACTTCATCTTTTGACATGTTCTTGGCTTGTATGGTTTCAAGGAATTGTTAACATTTTATAGAATTAAATCTAATGCAGTTTTTTTATATAGTTTTTAATGTTTTCTTGTAAGATTGCATTGCACGAACAAAGTTAGCATTGAATACTTACCAGAAAAGATTTGAGTTCAGTTAATAAAAAGTTTTCTGTGAAAGATTAATTTTTAACTTGGGCTTTCATAAAATTGTACAACCTAAGATTTTGCTTTTCATTTTCTTTTATGATATAAAAAACACTAGATTGAAAATTTCATTTAGTATTGAATCATTTTCTCATTTGTTCTTTGACATAAATTTTAATTTTTTGTCATGTTTTAAATAACTATAAGTTACTATTTAGATGTTGTCATTTTTATTTTGTTAAGTGCTATATATTTTTATGATCATTTAATGATTCTGTTAAACTTGTTTGTAGAGTTTTTTAAGGTACTGCCCTAAATGAGTTTAGGGTATGAATTTATTAAAACCTTACGACTAAACTATAAAAACAAGTTATGGACTTTGAATGCTTCAATTTGTTTTGGGCTTTGAATTTTTGTATATTTTTAACTAAGATTTTATTTGTTTGTGGAACATAATGTATATCATATAATGTATACTATTTTGCATATTTTATGAAATGTACTTATGTGCATTTATTAACTTCATAGTTATAATTATAGCTTAATATTTCTAATTACGTATTCTTAGTGGTAACATGAGCTTAAATTCAGGTATTTGTATGACAAGAAATGCACATTCCTCCCATTTTAGTGAATAGCCTCAAGAGTGTCATTAGTCTTATATTTTTAAATAGTAATTGGAAGCCATTTATGTAATATTGCTATGACTTGTATATGTATTTGTGCATATAACCAGTTAATATTATGTCTTTATTGTTTAGCAAACTTTTAATGCATCTGAGCTTCCTAATTATGAATTTATGCTGAATATTACATTTTCTGTTTTTATTTATTAGTTGCTTGGTTTGTTTATTGTAATATTCTGATATTCCTTTAATTTTTTAGATTTATTACAAAGTCTTTTAGAGGCATAGAAATATATGGGGCAAAAAATAATTTTAAAGTACAGTACAAAGTTCGTAATCCGGATGTCCATTATCCAGAATGATCTATAATCCGAACCTCAAAGCCACAAACTTACGCATACGTGTAATACGTTTACCCATGTGCGTTTAATGCGTGCATCCGCTACACATGTACGTAAAGCCAGTAAAGCGTTTACACATGCACGCTTGCGATAGTGGAGAAAGTAACAGAGGTTATTGAAAACAAAAAAATTTAGATTGACAAGTTAGTCTGTATTCTCGACACGGCAATTACAGGATTTCAACAGTGGAACTTTGTAACTGAACAAGAAATTATGTCTGTTTATAGGAGAGAGAATTAAAGAGAAAGTATTAGCACAAAAAACGAAGCAACTTAAACAACTTGCATTGAAAGAAATGTTTAATAAAGTAAACAAATAAATATTAAGACTTTTTTGTAAATTTTGATACCCTTTAGATCATAATTGCTTTTATTTCATAAATTATGGTTTCATATTTTTAATTGTATAATTTCTGCATGCCATCTTACTAGATTTAAATTGATGATCTATAATCCGGGAAAACCTCTAATCCGGAATCGCCGAAGTCCCGACGAGTTCGGATTACGGACTTTGTACTGTATATTGTAATTGTTGTGGATTCATGCATTTGAGCATTAGATAGTTGAAGGCTATATATTTATTTTGTGCATCCACATTATATTTTTTAAATGCCATTGTGGCTGATATCTAAAAGTACAATATGTACTTGTCCTAATGTAATGTAACTTCACTTTGCAAAATATCTCATGCAGGGTTTTTTTATTTATTTATTATTCTATTGCATTTAACCCTGTTTAACCAAAAAAAAGTCTGGGTATTTGTTTATCTGTCATAAGTTTGTGTATTGGCTCAAAGGGTTATTTAGGTGTTTTATAAACTGTGATAATTCTTTGATTGCCAGAGACTGATTATTGACTTGTAAAACTAGATTTTCAGTCCTATAAATTTTTTTTTAACTGAACTAAGCCAAGGTGAGGCTAAAACTGCACCAATCAAAATGAATTTTAACTGTCAAATGTTCTGCCATTTGTAATGTATTTGTGGATTTCTTGCATTTCCTTCCATGTTTAATGTTTTTGTCTCCTGTGTTTGAGCCAAAGTGAAAATTTGGTTCTCTAACTGCCTGGTAAAGGAATTAAACTGATCTGACAAATACATCTTGATCACTGTGTACTGTATACGTATTTTGAATAGTATTCTGTGTATTTTCATATGCTGGAGTCATAAGTTTGAATTCTTGTGAAAGATCTGTTTTATTGTTTACATTGTAATGTAATCATGTATCCCAAGTATGTCAATATACTAGTACTTCATTTGAAGTGTTGTGAATTATGCGAGGAATTACCGAATTCTTTACTTGTGTGCTTTTGTTGTATGTAAAATATTAGGTGTTACTTGATCATCAGTCATATACTGGTTTTGAACCTATTATATATGTAAACAAGGCTTATAGCTTAATGTTCCTATGACTGTGAATTGTGAGTTTCTGAAAACTTAAATGTTTGTGAGTTATTGCTTTAAGTCATTCTCTCAGGGATTAAGTCATGGATAGAATGCAATGATAAATATGTGTGGAAGTTGTTTCATGAGTTTTCAAAATTCTTGTAAAATTTTGTTGTACTTGAAAATGCACTTATTTCTTATTAGAAAGTTGCACATAGCCTTCTGTTGATATGTCAGTCATGTTAATATTTATTTAAGAATTTTTATGCACTTTTTGTTTATTACTGATGGTCATCCTGATGATAATCTGAA